TTTAAGTTTACCTAGCTAGGTATAAGGAATACATTGCTTTGCATTGATTTTACATCCCTCTATGACCCTATCGTCTACCGACTGTATCGCATTAATTTGCGGTTTCATATAGTAGTAGTGCGTCGCAGTTACACGACGAGAAAGCCTCGGAAGGACCACGAGCTGCGGTCGCATACCGACGTTGAGCAGAAACTGAGAGTCGAATAAGATAGCAGAACAGATACGAAGCAAATTATCATCGCCACCGTCAACGTTTGCGAACGTAAACACACATAGATATATTTACAAAGGAAGATAAAATAGTTTAGTTGACGAACGGTCACTTCTAGTGTTCATAAGATATTCCATTCGTCGTGTCGCCTTTCGCGCCACGTTAAGTGAAGGAATTGAATTAGTCGCTCGACTATTTTGACCATCGTTTCCACGTTGTTAAGTTTCGCGATTGCGGTTAATTCTGTCGGAAGGTTTTGACGCTCATGATCTTATGTATATCTTATCCATGGCCGGCATGCTCGCTTTTAATTCTTGTAAATTGGGTAAATCGAATTCTTGGCCTAAATCAATCCGATTTTAGAGTTTGAGGGTAATTAATAGAGAGTTGGAGCTAGCAACATTTATGGCTACTGGGAAATTGCTAGTCAACAAATTGTTGGCTCGATAATAGGAACGACCTTTGTTTGGGTAATTTTTTCGTCATCTTTCAGAATCCGCTCAACCATCGACCATCGAATTCACAATCAGAGTCAGAGGAGGAAATATGCATACGCTAACGGTATCTATATGTACCGGGAGTAAGTAGAATGTGTGGAGGCTAATTGGTTAGACAAAGTTGACCGTAACGTAAAACGTAACATCCGTAAAGTGGAAGAATGTAATTTATTTTCCTTAGGCACAACAGTTGCCGATACTATTCGAAAATATTTTGTGTCGTATGTTTGTATACTTGAAATTAGTTTTCCGCCAAGTAGTTTGCGCCAAGTCGAAGAACGTATGTTAACCGATGGATGAGCGTCTCTGACGTCAACGCGGTTCAATTGGCGGAACTTTGTACTGATGAATAATCGGGCTGTCGTTGTTCCTCTCGTTTTCTTCTTTATCCAACTGACCGAAGGATAGGGATGGTTACGCGTTACGCGACAGTCTGTTAAACAACTTCTCCTCTGGAGTCACGTCGAGCAGTGACGTGACTTGGAAATGCAGTTCCCTAGGTCTCGAGTTTCCCTTCAAGTGGCGAAACACGCCGTAGCTGGGAAACTCGATGTGAAAGTTGAATTATTAGAACGTCCGTGCGCTTCGAGTGGCCGAATTAAAATTTATCGAGATCGAGTTCGATCGACACGATTGACATCAAAAGTAGACAGCGGAGACGAGTTACGGGTTAAATATAACAAGTTGGACAGGAAGATAGTTTATACATATAGCGATAGTCGTACAGTTAACGTTAACTGTATCTCAGTTTAATTGCGGCAACCCGAAGGGGGCTGAATAATAAAAGAAGGAAATTCAAATACTTCAGTGTACGTGTTAGAATTGTTCTCGTCGGAGGGATCTATCTCGTTTGTATCTGCACAAATCAAGTCGGTTTAAACAACGTCAAGTTGATAAACGAGGCTTTCGACTGTGGCCAAGCTGGCTGAAACAGACAAATTAATTTCACGGTAGAACCAGAGCTTACCTTATCGAATTTCGACGTTGGTTCTCCATGCTTAACATCGCTCTACTCGCAGCTTCGTTTATCAGTGAACGGAGTTAACGACTTATGAATGGAATCTGGAATGATTTTATTTCTCACGGTAATCGATATTTATTACTGCAATAAAGCTATCCGTATAGTTATCCGTTATTAATACCCCGTTGATGGAAAGGGACGAATGTTTGCTTTCGTTATTGCGATCCACGATTACGTTAGAAAGATGCGTAACACGATGGATCGATAATCATGAATAATGCAGACGATTAACCCTTAACGAGAACGGCACCTAGCGTTGCGAATACAATAAACTTGAATCGATAAAAATTATAAACCCAAATAGTCGGTCCAGACATTGTGCGCTGCTGTGCGCTGGTCGAGGTATTCTTAGGTATACAAAAGTATAATCTAACACGATTACATAATTACGTGTTTCCTTTTACGTTTGTCAGTTTTAATTTTTATTCAACGTTGACGCGAAACGAAAAACAGATTCCTTTTATTGTTAGAATCGACCCCATCGCATCGTCGCGTCGGTTTCGTCTACCTTGGCACGTGATCCGTGGAGAATGAAGTAACAGCTCGGCGATTCCACCGAGTTCTCTGTCTGCTTTCGCATCCAAGTTACCGGGCTAATAGAAGTCTGACATGAAATAAACTTGTCTCTGCCGATGTATACGCAACGATGACACCTTTCCAGACGCTTTCGAGAAGCAAGAGGACGTTATTATGTGTTAACATTGTTGAGTCGAGGAACGCGTATAACGTGCTGCCTTAATAAACGTCTGGTATGCCGCGATGGGAATCCTTCAAATTCCGCCTTTAATCCAGTTAACTTGAGGAATTTGTATGCGAACAGTCCATGCGAGCCTCGTTCCTGTTCTTGTCTACTAATATTTTGTTTTTTACACTTGCGCCTAAACGTACTGTTTTGTACAGGTAAAATTTCGTAGATACGAATATACAGAGATTGACGTTTGTTCGGCTTATTATACAAGACGAAAAAAGCTCGAATAGATGCGGTGTTGTATATTCTTGCCCACGAGTCGACTCGACTCGACTCGACTCGCCTGGACAGAACATAAGCGCGGGTAGTTGAGGACCTTTGGAGTGGTATTGTTTCGTAGGTAGAGCAGGATGCGTTATTCATCGGCATTGAAAGACAGGGCTTACGCTCTCTGCAGGAGTTTTTTGAATGCCTATCGTAGCGGTATGAATCTTTTAAATTCCGACTTTCACTTGTCGCCGGAAGGAATTGAAATACTCGACATTTCCTATAGGTGCGATAGGTAGGATAGGTAGGTGTAACGTGATCGAGTAAAAGTACGTACAACTAAAAAAATGTATCTCGTTTAGCATATATTATTTCTGCATCGATAAGTGTATTCATGTTTCTCGGGTCTGTAACCTATAAAGCCTTCATTCAATATCGAATGTAGTACGTATACATGTACATATGTACATCTCCCATCGAACATCTCGCGTACCTTAATATCGTTTGCGTCTATATTCCTTTTCATGAAAAAAGGGTATAGAAATCGAGATATCCTTTTACAATGTGCATGCTTTGCGAAAATGTAACGTCCATTTTGTTATTAATTTTTAGTTAGGACAGCTAGTTGGTAAAGATTTGGTAAAATCAGGTGACGGGTATCGTTCGACGACAAGTCCCAACCCCAGCCTGAATGTCGTTCCTACCGCGGTCTTCCATGGGATCGAATTCGCAAGTTCGATTACCATTTAGCCATGACTCACCTGTGAGAAAGACTCGTCGGCGTAGGTGGCAACAGAGGAAGCGAGAGAAGGGGCTGTCGGGGGAGGAAGGAAGTATAGAAGAGGCTTTAAACGAATCACCGTCGCAACACGTAAGAAATATCGCATTACCAGCCAACAGTAAGATTTCACGTGGTATCCCTGTTAATGATACGCACGTTGCTCGATTACACCGGCATCGATCTCGTTCGTTCACCCTCTCGTCTCGTTATCGAAATGACGTTATCGATACCCTCGCCACCCTCGTCGGCCAGATTTCGTGGTAACAACGATCTCGGTATCGATTGTTCCCAGGACCATCCTACCAGTACGCAAACGAGAGAGTGGTATCGCAGTCGCAGGATTTCCCCGAGTAGTTTGGTTGTATTTTTCTACCGTCACCGCCGATGATCACGTAACGAGAATATTCTGATTTCGTACTGACACTAGCGATTATCGGGAACGAGCTACCGCGTCGAAAACTATGGGGAACAATTATTTCTTCGGGCCTGGTCGTTGCCTCGATGCCGACGCGACGTTCGACAGCTAAACGCTTCGACGTGGTTTCGCTCGTTTCTCAAACCTTTCAATCCTTTTTTCTCTCTTTGCAAGAAATCTTTCAAGGATCATTTCGACACGGTACGCATACTCTGGTATGCGCAACGATAGAACGAGCGACGAAAGCATCTTTCGAAAGCCAAGCAAACGAAAGACGAGCTGCGCTTCATCTCCTACGCTTCCTAGTCTCGCGAGACATCGTGTTCCATCGTTCCATCGACATAGAAAATCGTTTCAAGTCCCCGACCACGCGCCCATTATCATACATTACCGGCAACTCGAAAAGCTCACGGTACCGTCTCGGTATGCATTCGCTTATCACGAGATAACCCTCCAATCTTTTAATCTTCTTCATTTGAATCGCGGCGTGGAAACGCCTGCTACGCCGGGTGAAACGCGTTGCTCGAACACGCAAGTTACGAATTAAGTTAAGGTCACCCTTGACCCGGAATATCAAAGATAATAACGTGTTCCGTTTCTACGCCGCGATTCAAATGAACAAGATTAAAAGATTGGAGGGTTATCCTCTAATGTCCTCTATATCCTCTAATATCCTTGCAATTGCACAAGAGTCGCGGACGTACCGATAGATCGCCCCACGAAACTCGAGATACGCATTCAAAAGAAAATTAACGGTAATCCACCGAGAGACTTTCATTCCCGAGTAATTAACTAGACAACCATGTGCTCTCCATTTCTATACGGACGTTCAGACTCCGTTAGACTACATTGAATTTTAAGTCAAAATACTGGTAACTTGCTAGCTGTTACTACTAGTTAAGCTACTAGTAGTTACCTAGAGAAAAAGAGGTAATCGAAGCGAAAGGATGAGTAGTAGTAGCGAAATAAACAATTAAATAGGGAAATGTGCGACGTTACCTCGAGGCTCGAGGAGCCTTGGTTTGATCGCCGTCTTTTCTTTTTATTACGTGCACTGTATTACTCGTATACATACAACCGTACAGAACAATGAAAAAAGTAACGACAACGTGTTTTTCAGGTGAGAAAAGTGTGTGGTCGATCGGAGCTGCAGCCATCGGCATCGAGCGATGCGACCGTTACACCTTCGGATACAGCTGCAACGGGCAAGTCGACGTCGTCGGGGAGCCTCGAAATGCACGCAGCTGCGCCTCCTCTCACGCATAGAACATTGCAAACGCAGTTGCACGTGCAGCTGGGTAATTTCTTGGCCAGTGTCGTCAGGTCTCGGACCTTCTATGGTACTCTAGCCGACACGATCTGCGAGGAATACCCCGACAAACGATGTTGGAACGGCGAACACGTCGGAGAGTGAGTACACTTGGCATTTTATTCGACGGTTTTGAAGAAAGTATCGGTAGCTCTGTGAATTATCACGACAAACGCCTCGCGTCGCGTTGCGTCGGTGTGTTGCTTCGAGGTTTTATGCCTTTGCGAGCGCAAGTATTAAAATCATATTCAAATTCGCACGAGGACTTTTACGAGCCGCGGTGATTTAACGTCGCCCATTTTCCTCGGAACGATGAAACCTTTCGATCCAATGCCAACGGTCCAGTCGAGTACCTCGTACGGATGTTAGAAACAATCATTGAAAATATAAACGCAGAGTACACGTAGTCGCACCTCGTAGACTAGCAGCGGGTGATAATATCAATTTAAAGAAGGTTACAGCGTTGTATCCCGATCGCGTTCGCGGTTAAACAGATATCGATAGGCGGTTTGGCATCGAAAACGATTCGCAAGAAAGGGACATGGTTGTCGATGATCGAGTCATCGTTTAGGAACAATTTCCACGCACGTACACGGTTTTCTTCTTTGTTCTTCGACTCTGTTTTCGGTTTCTCTCTCGATTCTCTCTTTATCAGAGACGGCCAGTGTACAGTTTCAGCTCGAGATAGAATCGGCTCGGTAGACGTATCGGACAAAAATGAGCTGCATCAGGAGTGCAAAGAGGGTGAAGGAGGAAGGACATTTGCATCGCGTGACCAGACTTTGGATTTCGAACGAGTGCCTCTCGATTGTTCATCTAGTTCCATCGGATCGAGACGGGAATTTCTAATACCAAGTTTAACTAATCCCACGTTGCAATAGAAATGCCTTGTTCCGGTACTAAATCTCTCGATCCTCGACGAAATAGTTTTTAACGTGGTCTATTGTTAAGAGTGAGAACGCGAGGAGCGAAACGTGTAAAAAGGAATGGTGGCGAGCATGCGAAAAATAGCATAGAGATTGTTGCGACATCGTGACCTCGTAGCCGAAGAATTTGGCCACGTCCGCGGCATCGAGCTGCGTTTTACATCTCTTTCGATTCCTGTCGTCTCCTCTGTTCCTCTCGTATACGTAGAGAGAGGCTAGGCGGGCGTGCATGCATCCACCCGTCGCGTCGCACACGGGCGAAAGTCGAAACTGGGCGATGCCGACGCCGACGCCGACGTCGCCGTCGCCGTCGCCGCCGCGGCGCCCATTTGCTCTCGTTGCCAGACTCTTTGGCGGCTCGGCGTCCCACAGGCTACTCCGATTCTCCGTTCCGTCTCTTGTTCTCTTTGCTGTCGCAACCCCTCGCGGTGCTTCACCCGCCCCTTCCTTCCTCTTATCCGTATCACGTCCGTGGCGCGGGCATCGCGTTTCGTTTCGGTTTTCTCCTCTTCTAGCTTTCCCGCCCACGCATCGCTCGAGGTGACCGCTGAGCCAACATTTCGAGGAGACTCCGATTCGACTTTCGTTTCGTTTCGTTTTGCAGATTTTTTACGATGAAAATTACACAAAATCGATGTCACTCGTCAAACGTCTCGAAAACTGTCAAATTTTTAACGCTAATCGAACCGATACAAAAGTTTCTCGGGTATATACACGGTACTCGTCTTTCGACAAGTAATTTGTTGTTCGAAATCGCATACTCGTTCTCCGATTCCTCCATGTACGGCATCGAGCATCATAAATTATTCATTCTTTTCGAGTTTGCGTCTCGCAAAGTTATCATTTGCTATTAATAGCGAAGGCATTGCGTACGTAATACGTTTTTCAATTACGTTATCTTCTCCACTTTCACTTTCACGTTTGCAAATCGAACTTGTTAAAAGTAGTTCGGAAAATGTCGGAGTTGTTATAACATAAACTATGCGCTAATGCGAATACAGGATGTCGTTTGGTATGCGCGATATGGCCGTTTAGCTTCCTATTTTCGTATCTCAACTCGTGCACCAACCTATTTTGCGCATCTTAGCGCTCCATTTTTCGCGTTGGTTGACCTCGTTGCGAGACTTTTTGGTCGCTCCTCATTCCACGTGCCGTATTTATCGATGGTCTCTTCTCGTTCTTGTTTCCATTGCGTCAAATCACCTCCGCATTGCAGCTTTTCATCTCTTTACACTTAGAGATTTACACGAGTTAGATTTTACATTTAATCGTTTTAATCGACTAAAACGTTCGAACTGACAAATAAACAGCACCGTTAAGTACGGATTTTGTTGTTTGAATTTCGAGTCGAAAAAGTACGCAGTTTCACGCCGCGTCGTAAGGCTAACCATTAGGAATCTAATTAATTTTATTGTTCGCTTTTTACAAGAAGAAACCGGCCACCGCCCAGCCCTCCCGACGCTCTTTCGCGTTCTACTTTCTTACTCGTTTGCATCGTTTTGCTCTTCTCGGCTCTCTTCCGTAGTCTATTTCGATGTTTATTTTTCGTCGCTTTTCGATCTTGTGCGCCATTACTCATCCTCGCTTTCTGGACCTTTTACATTAAAAACCTGTATAGTATCCGGCCTCGACGTCAACGGCACGTACATCCTCGTAGTCCGGTTTCTTGTCGTTGTACTTAAACAGACCGTGCCGTAAACGGACCCTTTCTCGCGATTTCAGAATTCTCATCGTAGTTTTACATTCGAGATAGTCGCGCGAATTAACAGGGCGTTAGTGGTTAACACGGAGTGGGTACATGTTTCGTGCGAGTAAATTAAGAAATTATTCTTGTCGCGTAGACGCGAGCCCGGCCTGATCGCTAATGCGAGGTCTGCGTGAAATGGACTCAGCTCGGTTAAGCCCATCCTGTGATAGGATCTGATAGGATCTGACGATATATTCGGAGCTATTATCCGACGGGTCCAACTCTCCGTTCGATTCGCAACACTGTTCCCTTAGACGCGAACAATACAGCAATACTGGCCACTTTGCTGGATGAATGTTACGGGCGGTTTCGCTCGTCGTAAATCATACTCTCTGGGATTATTTTGCGCGAAAGAAGGTCGCGTACGGTCATAGTAGGATGAACCGTACAAGAAGGGAATGGAAAGTAGAGAAAAGGAAGATGGTTCTGCGGAACGATCGAATCGAATTATCGCGGAGGGCGAGAAAGGCGGTTTCACTTTTCCCCCGATTGGCTACGAGGATTGAATCGTGGAAGCTCTAGGCTTCCTGCACGGATCGAATCTCATTTAGATTTCTACCGTGAGATACTAGACATCGGCGTCGGCGTCGGCGTCGGCGTCGGCGTCGGTGATGGTTCCGAGCTTTTCAAGCTCCATGGCACGCGAGCGGTATTCTCGTCTGCGCGGTAATCGTCCGCGATTTATACAGCACCTTCCAATCCTGTTTACCAAGTATCTCGAAGCAGTTTCCTTCCCACGGTTCGTTAGAGAAGTGGTAGATTTTTTCTACTATTTTTCTACTCTCGTTTCAAGAGATTTGTTAATTGCCGCGATGAAAAATTGTTTTTGAAATGAGACAAATCATAATGAAAACGTATAATCTTTCCAGTTTCGTTCGACTAGCAAAGTATCGATTAGTAGTCGAATAAAATACGAATATAGCCCAGCTCACGGGTTAAACGGATTCCTTATCGATCGCGTTGCTGAGCTAATTTCGTGCAAGTCACCGTATGATGCTCAGCCAGAAAAATAAAAATGAGATCGCGAGAGTAGGCAATGGCAGCCAGCGTAGCGTAGCGGTCAGACTGGCTCGTTTTGGTGTGACGGCGGCTTAAAGGGCCGCCACGTCGCGGCCGCCTCGTTGATTAATAATCACGCGGACGAAAGCTACCTTCACACAGCACACCTGTCGTCTCTTTTCTTTATTTTCCTCTCTCCTACCTTTTCACCCTCTCTTTCAACCCTATCCTCTTCCTATCGTGCTCTTTGTTTTGCATTCTCTCAGCCATTTTAGTTCCTTTTCTTGCACAGCTTCGCTCCGGATCTCTATCTTTGTTCGTTCGAACTCGATCCCTCGCGTTCCTCTTTCGGTGACACCCTCCTTCCTTGCTTATTACACCAATTTTAATTTTAGACTAAAATACACTGGACGTTATGAAAATATTTACATAACTTTTACATGTAGAATCGTTACAAATAACGTGTAAAACATCGCACTCGTATGTAATTGAGAAGACAGCATGTTTTATTTTATTTACAGTAGAAATGAAGTTATAATTTTAGAGATTATTAGCAATACACTTAATATAATGAATGTTTGTTGCACAGTTCATTCAAAAGTAACAAAGCGTAACCATAACCACATCTCGTCTCATAAATTTTAACTTCAGCAAACCAGAAAACATCGACCCCGTGCTTCGCGTGTTGTGTTTTATCGTGCATCTGAATTGCATAAATCTCCCGAATCCGTGTTGTTGTAACTATTTACCGAAATCTTTGAAGATAAATTTGTTCGTTGCTTACTGTAACTTCTTAACTATGGCAACGCCTGTTATGTATTTCTTAAGTTATAGAAAGAAAAAAATACTGATACGTTAGACACGTAAGTATCAAGTATCGAGTTATGAAAAAATGAAGGTCCTACACATGTACAGCAACAGTTTATGGTCAAGCCGTCGTGCCTGAAATGTACTTTTTAAAATTCAATTAGCCAACTACTTGTGCAACAGTTGGCCGAAATTTAGAATATTCTAAACTAACGTTGATTAATCATGATTATAAGTAAATTTTAGCAGAGCGATGTGTTTTACTAATGGATTTCTGATGCAACGCGTTCAAGTAATAACGATTTCAGTTACATATGAACAGATTTAACTCGTACTAGCCTTTTATGAAATTATTTTCGGAAATAGCGTTTGGAATTTCTGTAATCAAGTTTACGAGAGATAGATTCGTAACGATATCGATTGAAGTGGAACAGGTATTCATACATGGAATTCAACTTTGGTGCTCCATTCTTGGAAAAAGCGCATCGCTTCTAGGATAACCTAGTGTTACGAAAATTCATCCTTTTAGCGTAATTTCTAATCCCACCCTCCATCCTTTTGCAGTCGTTGCGAATTCAACGGTGTTTCCTTTCATCTCAATGATTGAATGTTGGCAGCGCCGAAGAAAGAGCCAACCTTCCTTGTACTGCGTCGGCGTCGACGTCGGCGTCGGCTAATAATCTGTTCGGAAAAATTGCGCAAAAATTTGATCAGGTACAATGTAGAAATAACGAGTGGTTAATCCCCGCGTTGCCCTAATTGGGTAACGAACAGGGAAAATTGAATTTGGAAAATTCAAGCCTAAGTTTCATCGAGTGTGCCGAACGTGTTATGGATTGGATCTGAATTTACGGCTTGTAGAAATATGTCCGTCGGGATCGCGAAGCAGTGGAAAGATGCGCGAGTAATTAAATCGGATATATCCGAATGGAAGGTGGAGATGCACGATTCGTTTCGAAAGCTTTCGATCGCTGTAGACCAGTTTTTGCTGTTCGAGCTGCTTCTGTTCGTTCGCGTTTCTGGACGAGCAAGATTGCATCGCTGGCGAATTATGCTCGTTAACGAGCAACAGAGCGCGAGAAAGTGACGGGGTGGAATCGGAATCGAGACACAGAGACATTGAAAGGGATTGAAGAAAAAAGGAAGCTGGAGGAAGAGGCTACCGAACGACCGACGAACAGGAATTTACGCCAAGAGGGAAAAGGAAAATAATAGTAAACTATAGGGACAAAAGGGTGAGCGAACGCTTGGGCGAACCCGGAAGTTTCACAGAGCGAACATGACATCCCGAGAGACGCGCGGCTGGCATTTAACGAAACAGAATTCAGGAGGATCCTCGAGATATGCGAAGATCGACTTAATTAGAGACGAGAATTATAGCTTCTTTTCGTTTAAATCAGCTCTCTTTCCCTGTAAATAAAAGTATGTTATACTTGTATTTAACCGTTACAGGGTACATAACTACGAAACGAAATTCTCTATCTTTGAGAGCTATTCAAACAATATTTTACCTTGTCGGGTAGAAATCGAAAATTTACCGGATTTCAAAGCACAGTTGAAATTTTCTGAAAACATTCCTCTTCGGTATCGTTGCTAGCAAGCCACGACAGCATCCAAAGTTTGCAAATTAAACCCTGTGCCCTGCGCAGCCAGGCGAGTGCTACGAGTGGGGTTACACTTTAAAAATGTTTTAATTAGAGTTGGCAATTGTCGGTCGTAGACGAGCAGCGTTGCGCGAAAAAAAAAAGAGGCTCGATGTCTTTCATCGACGACCACTGCGGCCGCTACGGCAAATGTGTTAATTTATCAATTGCGCGCACAAAGAAGCACGATCGATCATTTTTCAATTCGACGTTAATTCGCGCGCGTACAATGAATAAAGGAACAAGTTGGTCTGCGAACGATCGATCAAAATGTCGCCAGACGCGTTCTTTGGTCGCAAACGGAACGAAGGGACCCAACGAAAAGAAAGCATCGGCGTAAAAGTTGAATGAATGAAAGAAAGGGTATCGAGCAAAAATGATCGCGAGGGAAACCGAAAGATACAAATTACGATAGAGAGATGAGAGTTGGAAGATAATCGAATCAATTTTTGTCGACACGGTCGATTCGATAAACCGATCAGTCCAATTAAATTTGATTGGGATAAACTTTTCAACATACAGAATAAATTGAACGTCGTTATTTCAATGATTTGTAATTTATCGAGTGGCAACCAAAAACGCGACAAATATTTAAGGTGTAAAGGGTTAATTATTTGGTTGTTCGCGAATAAAATTAGAACGATCAGGTTAGAGAAGAAATGAAAACTCGTAATTAATCGCCGGTAAACAAAGAAACACCGCTCATAGGCAGGACATCTGATCGAGCTGCGAGTGTACGTGCAGTGGCCGACTAATGAATGGCACGCGATGCCTTTTGCGAGAAGCGAGAGCGCGCGTTTCAAATGTGCCGGTCCGAGAATACGTAGCCACAAACGTAAATAGAACGACTGCACTCTTCTCTATCTCTTTCGGAGATAATTCTTTCCTCACGCTTCTCGGTTCGCTCGTGAATATCAAGCGCGTACAGTGACAGCACAAGATAGCACCGCGGATGCCTCGGAGATTCTGGCTTTCCAGTTGGTTAAACGCAAATAGCTTCAAATTGCGACTTGTCGCTTGGCAACGCTTGGCGCGGCTTTACAGAGTCTCACGGTTTATTAAGCCGCACGGTGTTTTTCGGTATTCTCGCCAACTTGAAAACTATAGTACTGATAAACTCTTCCATTCCGAGAGGAATACTTGTAAAGGAAAAGGAAACGTTTAGAGTACTTTTACGAGTATTAGGAGTTTCGAAAAACCAACACCGTGACTCGATCGAGTTGATCAAGTTGCGTGAAAACAGCGTCGATTCGATATGCAAACGGGAGTCGTATTTTATTGTTAGACGATACAGTTCACCGAGACTCGACCGTTAAGTACCTCGTAAACTCTCAACAGCTTGCCCTTAAAGCTACTAATGGTATACTTGTACCATTATCTTTGGTATTCCAAGTTGTATAGTTATTAGGGCAGAACCCTATTAAAAAGCCGCCACCGTCACATCTGACCTCTTCTCCTTACATCCATTTTACGATAATGTTTCCTTTTTACTAGCTCGAATTTGAACTCGCTTATACTTATTGTACAATATGTAGATATATACGTTTACTCTGCTTCTTTGCACTATCCTACGCTAAACGGTATGTTATTCCTTATATTCGCCGACAGGCGAATGAAATTTTGTAGCTTCGTAGTATTGTCGCCAGCTGTTATTAAGGCAGACCTAGGTCATCGGCGATCGCCTTAAAATGAAATTATAGCGCTCGTTCCGAGAAACGGTACAACCAGAGCTAGTTGATCGTGGTCTCTTTTGTTCGTCAGCTGGCAACAGAAGTGCGGAAGATTACTGGGGGCCGGCCAATGAATCGAAACGACTTTGCCTGATGCACGATCCATCTGCAAACGTATGATTATGATTATGATTGTAACAAATGAATGCAGCTATAGGAGTGTGTACGGGTTCGAACGACGAAGAAGAAAGAATTAGAGCTGGCGTCCGTGACCGAAACGACCGACGACAATCGGGTTCTTCTTAATTTATCGACGAAAAAATAATCGAACGAATCGAAAGGTTACGAGTTTGACCGAAGATATCAGAGACCAGGACTCGAGCGCGAATCACGTGTACACGAGTCTCGTAAGGATACCCCTTAAAATCATTCGATAATCAATGATTGATAAACCGTTATCTATCTGGAGCAATCGCTACAAAAGCATTTCTCCACGTCTGCAAACTTTTTGCACTGATATTTCTATTTTGAACGCGTAACCGAATGCACACTCTGTGTTCTTCCACTCGATCCATCATAGGCGCCGTCCAACGGTTGCAAACATGTCCGAACTTGAACAATGTCTGCTTCCTAGCGATAAATGCGTAGGTGTTGCCATTCTAAACATCGATGGTCCTATCCATCCACTATTATCCGTCATGGATAACGATACAAAAGATTATAGTGCTTAGGCAAATCGGCGAGTCACTAGGATAATTTCCCATATTTTCTCATGTTTGCAGGTATACAAAGACGGTCGTAGACTCGAGTTTAACGTCGCAGAGGTACAACCCCGAGTTCACCATAACGACCATGTCACCGACGACGAGCTCCTACGGCAACACCAACACCAGCGTGCTCATTGACCAATTAAGGCACATTAATTTGGTAAGTCTACCACGTTACGTTTTCGACCGGCTCTCGCGGTTCACTTCAGACACGATGTTACCATTACCAGGAATATCTTTGGAATACAACGACTAGAATTATTCGCGATCAAACCAACCAGAAAACTATAATAAAAACAAAAACAATCAGTCGAAATACAGACAGCGATACTCTGCTTTTTTATAGAGTTATTATTGAGAAGAAAAAATAAATATTATGGCACGTGTGGTACCGTTGAACGTTGTTACTCGTAGCAATATCGTCACTGAAACAAACACTATATTCGCAGAAAACTTGATTGTTCGTTTAGAGCCGAGTGTTGTATCTACTAGGAACTGTTGCCCCACAATCGAACAATAACTAAGGAGTTCTATTGCGAGCAATTAGACCGATTAAACTGACACGAATAAGCTCGAGGGGCTTTTTTCATGTCAGTTAAAGTTCTCTTTAATTAGAACGACTCATTGATCGTGAACGGTTAGAAAAGTGAAAAAACTTCGGTTGAGTAAAAACTTACTCGGTTTTAATTTACACGTAAACGCGTTAAATTTGCTCGTGTCTATCGTTGGTTAGTTATCACTGGTCGAGACGCGTTCCAACATCGATGCGCACGATAATTCCCCTGTCTCGAAATCAGGATGCTCGTTACGTGTACAACACACCTGCACACCCGTCGCGTCGACTGCAGACATATCGCAGCTGTGTAATCCAATTTGAAATCGTCCAGTACCAGAAGAAGGTAACGCGGGACGATATGTATGACAATGTACGAACTCATGAATGATTTATAAACGACTCCGGTCCACGGGCATTGCGCGCACGAGTATCGGTATTTTACTTTTTTCTCTCTAAATAAACGTTTATCCAATTGCGATCTACATATGGTACACATCGCGCTCTGGACATTACATAGTTGCTAAACGTGAACGAACCCGTACGTCGAGACTGTACATCGTGTAAGGTGCAATTAAACGAGTCAACGACCGCGGACGTGGACTTTTCGTTAACGTTGTCAATATCGTGTTAACCGTTTAGCTAGGAGTTAAAATAACACGATTTACATCTACATCTACATCTACATCTACATCTACATCTACGACTATTTTGGTGGATTGTCATACTTTTCTTTTTCTAATTCTTTCTAACAATCTTGCAAGCTTCGTGTCCAAATGGGAGGCAGGTTCTGAACGTTTGCTTTTATTTCTCGTAGATCTTGCAATCGCAGCTGGCATCAGCGCCCGACAGCGGAACATTGCTCGCCGACGAAGCTTTGGATGGTTCGGGAAGCGGCGATAGACAAGTTTGGAGGAAGAAAGGAAAAGGCGACGACATCGATAACGACGACGAAGACGCGCATAGCGACGATCACGACGACGACGAAGCATCTGGCTCAGGAATGGGCCCCACTACACCAGGTATACTATACATATACGAAAATATCTGTTCCTACTTTGCGAAAGTAGGACAAACTAGACATTTATTTCCAACATTATTTATCTTTTCATATAGCAACTTGTAATTGTTGTTTTTCCAGATCCATCGGTGAAATTGAATCGGGACAATACGGCCACGGCTGGTTCATCGAACGTGCTCTTATCGTCTCTCGTCTTGATAATCGGTTGCGCGCTCTTGATGGCTTAAATTGCACCAGAAATCGGCGCGAAAAAGGGGAAAAGTGATTCGATGATCCGCGACCTAGACATAGAAAAGACGACTTTGGATCTCGCCTCAGCGAATAGGCTGATTCTGCTCGACACGCGAGAACGATTCGACTTTGGGTGCTGAGAATCTGCTTTATAGGTATTTATCGTGCTGACGGAACGGAACAGCTGCGTGGAGCGTATTTCCGGAAACAGCCAACGAGCCGAGAAAGATTCGTAAGCAACAGCGAAACCAGTGGAATCGTTCGTGTTTTCGGCTCGTTGGTTGGTGCAACCAGTCGATTATTCGACAAGTGTCGCGGAACGAACCCGAAGAGACATTTTCCGTGAGATTGTTCCGTGCATGGGAGTCGTAAGCGAGGATCGGCGCGGACCGGCAGAAAGCAAGAAAAGTGCAAACGGAGAAATGATTGTAACGTTTCCCGTGCTACGGCCGCCACGACGGATGATATTTTGGCAGTCACTATCTAGCAATCTTCGCGAGAAAGAAATGGCTGTTAACGATGGGGACGAAGATGTTTGGAAACATTACGCGAAAGAAGAAAACAACGTGAAACGGATTTCTACGGTTGTACATTTTGTTTGTCGCGAACGGAGTCGGAGAAATTTATATTTAGAAAAGCAAGACTGTGTAGAGAAAATTTAAAATAAAGTTCAATTTTTGCCGAGTCGTATAGAAGTATGTTTCTCGAGGATGCTTCAGAGGATGAATAAATTAACGAAAGAAAAAACTCGATGAGATTCGGGCTAATTAGAAACATTTTATCAACGATCCTCGCGCAAAGACTCGACGTTATCTATTCCTTTGACCGAACTCTTGGAATCGATCGTGAAGGAAAGGAACGACTACGAGAAGAGTATACCGCAACTTTGAACACCCAAAGGATGACTTTATGTCGTTTACGCGTATTATTAGTCGTGACAATTGAAACGTTGCCATATTTAATTGAAGTGAAACGTTGAGAAGGCGCAACCGAAGACGCGTATCAAGAGATCGTGTGTATTTATCGGAAATGTACAGAAATTTGGAAACGGACGGAACGTACCGCAATATCGAGCAATAATTACGCATCAATTTATACGCACACTTTACTGCCAACGTTTCGAACAACGAGCAATTATGTAGCAGCTTCCGTACTACGTGAAATCAAAGTGTCTTTCCTATTTGAAAGTATCGTCATCGTTATCGTCATCATCATCGTCATCGTCATCGTCATCGTCATCGTCATCGTCATCGTCATC